AACCGGAAATCATTCTCGGTTAACTCCTAAACCAGAATATCAATTCGGTTCATCGGTTAAACCGGTTATCAATTAAAACATATATTAACTTGGTTCATCATTTAAACCGACTCAAAATCAATTTACTTTTGGTTAACTAATAAACCGGATCTCAACCCGGTTAACATAAATTTTTTTTTTTTAAAAAAAAAAAAAAAAAAAAAAAACCAAAAATCCCTAAACCGGAATCTAATATTCCGGTTCAACTTTAAACCATTAAACCGAACTTATGTTCTGTATAACCAAAAAAAAAAAAACCGTATCCTTAAAATTTACGATTCCCGAGAAAGTTTCCTAAATTAGAAAGTTTCCCGAAATAGAAACTTTCCTCAAATAGAAACTTTCCTCATTTAGAAGGTTTCCTAAAATAGAAACTTTCCTCATTTAGAAAGTTTCCCAAATTAGAAACTTTCCTCAAATAGCAAATGACCCGGTATGAAAACTTTCCTAAAAATATAAAGTTTCCCGAAATAGAAACTTTCCTCATTTAGAAAGTTTCCCAAATTAGAAACTTTCCTCCAATATAAAGTTTCCTCGAATCGAAACTTGCCTAAAAAAAAAAAAAAACCCTAATGAAATCAATTTCATGTTTTCAGATGTCAAACATTCAGAAAGTCGAGTTCGAGGCCCTCAAGGTCTCCGGTGAAAACTATCTCGAATGGGCCCTGGACACCAGGATTTTCCTCAACTCAAAGGGACTGGGTGAGTGTATCAAAGCGGATAACACCGCATCTGATAAAGACCGGTCCCAGGCGATATTTCATATCCGACATCATTTGGCCGCGAGCCTCAAACAGCAATATCTCACTCTTGAGAACCCACTCAAACTTTGGGTGGCCCTGAAAAAACTGTATGATCACCAGAAAACGGTGCTCTTGCCACAAGCCAAGTTTGACTGGAAGGAACTCCGGTTCCAAGATTACAAATCTGTGGATAACTACAACTCCGAACTCTTTCGGATAGTTTTAATCATGAAACTATGTGGTGAAGAGGTGTCTGATAATGATCTCCTCGAGAAAACATTATCCACCTTCCATACCCAAAACATTGTGCTTCAGCAGCAATATCGTGCAATGGAACACACATTATACGAAGATTTGTTATCTTGTTTGCTATTGGTCGAGAAAAACAACGAGCTGTTAACGAGGAACAGTGCCCAGAGGCCCCCAGGATCGGCTCTAGTACCAGATTCCCGCAAAGAATCCTACAATGTCCAGTAAGACAGATCCTCATATCGTGGCCGTGGATATGGGAATGGACGTGGAAAGCGTGGACGCGGAAATGGACGTGGCAACCGACATAACCTCGGTTATGGTTCCGGTAAGGGCCGTGGTATCTCTAAACCAAACCGCCCTGCCCACCCAACCAATTAGTCTGCCTGCACCAGATGCGGAATATTCAATCACTGGACAAAGAACTGTCGTACTCCCAAGTTTCATTGCGATTTGTATCAGAAACATGGGAAAGCACCTGCTGAAGCTAACATGGCCTAGCAAGTTGATGCTGACGACACCACCACCGAGCCGACCGATCCCATGGACTACGAGATCTCCAATCTCCTCGATTAATTCTATCATCTGAACACTTGCTTATTTCATAAATTTAATCATGCAAACCGCGAATATTAGCACAATAGCGGGTACCTCGAACTTAATAGAAGGCCACGGCCAAGCCCATGTGTTGTTATCAAACGGCACACATCTGGACATTCCAGTTGCATTATACTCACCCAGCTCAAAAAGAAACCTTTTAAGTTTTAAAGATATCAGACTTAATGGTTTCCATATAGAAACCCATGGTGAAGGGAACAAAGAATCTCTACTGATCACTAAGATCACACTTGGCCATAAACAAGTCCTCGAGACTATACCCGCATTATCTACTGGCCTTTACTATGCTAAGGTCAGTATGATTGAGGCTAATAATGCTCTCAAAGCCCAGTTCCAAGACTGCACTATTTGGCACGACCGGCTTGGTTATCTCGGTACAACCATGATGCGTAAATTAATCCAAAGTTCTCAAGGACACACCCTTCGAGAAAACCGAGTCTTCCCTCAGCACCTCACGTGCACAGCTTGCTCCCAAGGGAAGTTGATCACCCGGCCTTCACCAGTAAAAGTGTCCAAAGAGACATTACATTTTCTGGAAAGAATCCAAGGAGACATCTGTGGTCCCATTCACCCACCTTCTGGGACATTCCGGTACTTCATGGTACTAATAGACGTTTCGATCCGTTGGTCGTATGTTTGCCTATTGTCTTCTCGGAACCAAGCTTTTGCTAGGTTGTTGGCTCAAATCATCAGATTACGAGCCCACTTTCTAGACTTCCCACTAAAGACTATACGTCTTGATAATGCAGGTGAATTCACTTCCCAAGCGTTTAATGATTACTGTATGGCCATGAGGGTCACCGTTGAACATCCTGTGGCACATGTCCATACTCATAATGGACTTGCTGAATCATTCATTAAACGAATCCAATGGATTGCTCGACCATTACTCATGAGGTCGAAGCTCCCGGTCTCAGCTTGGGGACATGCAGTATTACATGCTGCTGAATTAATACGCATCCGACCATCTAGTGAGCATAGATATTCCCCATCCCAATTATTAATGGGTCATGAGCCAGACATCTCCCATCTCAAAATATTTGGGTGCTCAGTCTATGTACCCATTACTCCATCACATAGAACCAAAATGGGACCTCAAAGGAGGATGGGAATATATGTTGGTTTTGATTCTCCCACCATCATCAAATATCTCGAGCCGACCACTGGAGACCTATTTAAGGCCAGATATGCGGATTGCCAATTTGATGAATCGGTATATCCAACATTGGGTGGAGAGAAACACAAGCTGGTCAAAGTGCTATCATGGAATCAAACATCCTTAAATTGGCAAGATCCTCGGACTCTAGAATGTGATTCAGAGATCTAAAAGATTATACAATATCAAAAGCTAGCTAATCAATTGCCAGATTCCTTTGCTGACCCGAACAAAGTAACCAAATCGTACATACCAGCTTGTAATGCACCAGTACGAATAACTGTCCCAACGGGACAAGTTCAAGTTGCTACAGAGTCTGCATCACGAAATAAACGTGGCAGACCTCTAGGTTCCAAAGACAAGAATCCACAGAAATCAAAGAAAGGTGCAATAGTTGAAACCGGGATTCCCAATATAACAGACATAGCCGCGGCTGAGACTCACTCTAATGAACCACCAGAAGAGGTTCGGGACGCCGAATCTCTAGGTTCTGAAGAGATCGATAACGATGAGATCTCTATCAATTACAACATGTCTGAAACCCAATGGAACAGAAAAGAAGTCGACCTGAATGCACTCTTTGCATACAAAGTAGCACTTGATATTGCGAACACGCAAGAGGATCTAGAATCCACGTCTATCACGCAGTGCACTCATAGAACAGACTGGCTAAAATGGAAAGAAGTCATAAACGTGGAGTTAAAGAGTCTCAAACTCAGGAATGTGTTTGGTCTGATCATCCGGACACCATTCAATGTCAAACCAGTGGGCCATAAATGGGTCTTTGTGCGTAAGAGAAACGAACTCGGTGAAGTCGTTCATTATAAAGCACGGCTTGTAGCACAAGGATTCTCACAGAGACCCGGAATCGATTATGAGGAGACTTATTCTCCGGTGGTGGATGCAACTACTTTTCGATTCCTCATAAGTCTGGCCATAAGAGAAAATCTAGATTTGCGATTAATGGATGTTGTCACCGCATATCTCTATGGGCCCCTGGACAATGAAATATACATGAGATTACCAGATGGCATAGAGCTTAAAGATAAGCATGCATCTCGAGATCAGTACTGCATCAGGCTGAACAAATCCTTATATGGACTGAAAAAAGTGGACGTATGTGGTATAACCGGTTAAGTGAATATCTCATCAGAGAAGGCTACAAAAACAATCCCATCAGTCCATGCATTTTTATCAAGAAATACTCAAACAAAGGATTTGTAATCATAGCAGTTTACGTGGATGATCTAAATATCCTCGGAACATCTGGTGAAATCTCCCAAACAGTCGACTGCTTGAAAGCAGAATTCGAAATGAAAGACCTAGGTAAAACTAAATTTTGTTTGGGTTTACAACTTGAGTACGTCAAAGGAGGAATCCTTGTGCATCAAGCGGCTTATACTGAAAAAGTTCTCAAGCAATTCAACATGGACCAGGCCCACCCATTGACCAGCCCAATGGTTGTTCGGAGCCTAGGATTGGACAGCGATCCACTCGGTCCCAAGAAGGACGATGAAGAAATTCTCGGTCCAGAAAAGCCATACCTCAGTGCTGTAGGAGCGTTAATGTACCTGGCTAGTCACACTAGACCAGACATTTGCTTTGCCGTGAACCTCCTAGCTCGCTTCAGCTCATGTCCAACTCAGAGGCACTGGAACGTTGGCTTTGCTGATGTAGGATATCTATCAGATCCGTACACTGCCAAGTCTCAAACTGGTTATGTGTTCACGCATAGAGGAACAGCTATCTCTTGGAGATCGATGAAGCAGACAATCACTACCACTTCATCAAACCATGCAGAACTTTTGGCCATTCACGAAGCCAGCAAAGAATGTGTTTGGCTACGATCCATGACTCAGCACAACCGGTCAGATTGTGGTATGGACGAAGACAAGGAGCCTACGGTGTTGTATGAAGATAATGCGGCATGTATCGCTCAACTCAAGGAAGGTAATTATATCAAAGGAGATCGAACGAAGCACATCCCACCGAAATTCTTCTCAACCTCGGATTAGCAGAAGGATGGTACGATCAGCGTTCAACAGGTCCGATCAAGCGAGAACTCCGCCGACCTTTTCACCAAATCATTGCCCGCTTCAACACTCCGGAAGCTCATCCAACAAATAGGAATGCGTAGACTTAGAGATCTACCGTGATGCTCTAATCAGGGGGAGTAATGCGTGTTGTACTCTTTTTCCTTCACCATGGTTTTTCCCACTGGGTTTTCCTGGTAAGGTTTTAATGAGGCAACATTCCCCAGCGCATTATCGAGATCCCGATTGACCATCAGGACCGGTTACTCTGTCCAAGGGGGAGTGTTATAATACATCATATTGGACTTATAACCGGTCCCAATAAGCCCATCAGGGTTATTCATTATGTATTGTATCCCGATGTACTTCTATATATTCCCTTGAGGATCAATAAAATAATTAGTTCTACACTTATAAATAAAAATATTTAATAGTTTAGAGTAAAGTTGAAGAATAAAAAAATTAATCTCTAAATTGAGGCCCACGATAGAATTTGTCTCAGGCGCGTAAAGCTCAAAACCCTAAATTTTGATTGAGCTCAATGGCGAATTCACAATTGTCGTGGAAGAAGCATAAGCCGTCGAAATATCCCACCTCGAACCCGTCACTTCCATATGATTTGATAGTGAGCATATTAGCCCGCGTCTCGAGATCGTATTACACAAATCTCTCCTTAGTCTCTAAAATCTTCCGATCGATCCTTGCTTCACCGGAGCTTTACCAAACCGGAACCCTCTTAGGTCGAATCGAGACCTTTCTCTATGTTTGCTTACGCTTCCTTGATGAAGCTAACCCTGGCTGGTTCAATCTTTACCGGAAATCTAATCAAACCCTAACCGATCAAACCACTAAGAAGAAGAAGACGAAGAAGAAGAAGAAGAAGAAGAAGGAGAAGTCAAGTGTTAATCTTTTGGCTCCAATCTCAGTCCCCAACTCTCCTCCTGTGGAATGGTCAGCTATCATATCTGTTGGTCATAATCTCTACGCCATTAGCGCAGATTTCGAAAAGGCTCCTTACTCTAACGTTCCTTTTCTTGATTGTCGAACTCACACTTGGCATGAAGCTCCAAGAATGAGACTGGCTCACACTAGTAGTGTATTTGAAAGAAGAATGTATTTACCAGGAAGCTCTGAAAAGCCTGATTCTTTGAACTGTGTTAAAGTTTACAACACAAAGACTCAAACTTGGAAAACCGGTGCCGCCCGAAAAACGGATATTCGAATTGGAAAATTTGGAAGGAAAGGTTTACTACAAGAATTTGATTTAGTGTCTGCTGGGAAAGGTCTGACTTTGAGCTCTAAGTCGAAGAATTTGACATGCGGATTGGATACAGATTTATATCGATATTTTTCTTGTATGATAGAGAACATAACCTATTGTTATTGGGATGGAAATTTTGTTTGGAGAAAATTTGAGGGTATAGCAGTTAACAGAATGTTAAAGGGTATAGAAGGGCTACCTAAGTTTTCTAGATATTGTACTGTTAAATTGGCGGAGTATGGCAGCAAGCTGGTGATTTTGTGGGACAAGTGTGTAGCTGCCAGTGGGTATAAGGAGAAGATGATTTGGTGTGCAGAGATTTCGCTTGAAATGCGCAACAGTGAAGAGATTTGGGGGAAGGTCGAGTGGTTCCATGCGGTGCTTAGAGTCCCTAAGTCTTACAAAATCTTGTGTGCTACTGCTGCTACTCTTTGATTAATGGCTCATGACACAAGTATGAAGCTTTCTTTTATTTAGTATGTCACAATTGAAGGAATGTCTTGAATTTTTTTTCGGAATGCAGTTGACATTGTTTTCGCTTAGAAACATCTGTACTCATTTGCTTCTTGATGATTAAAGCTCATTCTGTGACTCTCTCTTGAAAAACCTTGTTGATGTCAACATCGTTTTTTTCTACTGTTTAATGATTCTTGAGACAAGCTGGCAATGGTCGTTTTTTTGTTCTGAATGTCTGTGTTACAAAATACCTATTGTGTATATATATGTGTGACTATGGTGAATCCTTATCTCATGCTTTTAGCGGACATTGTTTCATTTCTAAACATATGCCCTCACTTTGGTCTATGAAAACTTTTGTTTGTGTTGAGTAGAATGGTATGGTTCTCTTTAGATTCAAGAGAACTAAAACAGGATATACAGTGCTTGGTTTGTATCTGTCATTGATGTAATGAATGACCAAGTTGCTGCAAAAACAGCCTTATGTTCATCTCTTGTAGCCAACCTACAAAGAAATCGCCACTGAATTAATTTATGGATCCTTTGTTTCATTCTCAAACAGGATCTTGAATTTGATATTATTATACGAGTGTACTTTGTCAAGCTACTTTTTCTTTTCTTCTCAATCGAACATAGTCGTATTTACTTTACTCTATTTGCCCATGTGGACGCAGCAAAATGCTAGGGTTTGTCCGACAGCTCGGTGACCGAATCAGACTATAAGCAAAAGGACGTTTATATGTAACATACTCGACTAAAAAGCAGGAACTCCTCATGCGCTTAGATTTTGTCAGAAAAGAAAGTTGGTTAGATCTTCAAATTGGCTTTTGCTTCTTTCTTTACTTTTGAATATATGTGCTGGATTATGTTTATTTTTATATTAATATTTTTTTCTAAGAACCACATATTAAGAGCCTACCATTAAACACACAAAAAAGCTTAAACCAAAAATACAATCACTTAACTATAACTTTTACAAATTTATTACTTAAATATTCCTAAGAGCCATTATTAAGAACTCATTGATAATCATGCTCTCATGTATGTCCTGCATACTCCGATGTATGCATGGCAATGGTTGACAATGCCTTAACTCATTATCCAATTATATATGCTCTTTCTCTTTAACTTAGATTCAAATGCACACAAAATCTAATTGATCATATGATTTATGATTCATAAACTTCCTGGATATAAACCTTTAACTTGTAACCAAAAGGAACAGTAATCAAAGATCTGAGTTTCTTTAGTAACCCGATCGAGGAAGAAATCTATGTAACTTTTTTGTGTTATGGACTTGAAATTAGTTGCTAGACTGACCGAATTAGCAAGAAATACTGATAAGGTTTAACACTTAGTAGAAAATGTTTATTGTTTTGAGGCCCAATAAGAGATTCAATGAAAATGATTCTGATCACAAGCCCACTGTTAAAAATTAGCCCTTCACGTTTCTCACGCGCTCGAGAGCTCTAGCAGTGAAGTGAAGTGAAGTCAAATCCCTAATATTATCTGCACGACGGAGAAGAAGTAGAAGTAGAAGAAATCGTCTCCATTAATCTCGACAATGTCGTCCCCAGAAAAGAAGAGGAAGTCGCCGACAAGGAAGACGAAGAAACGTTCGCTTACGCCGTCGCCGGAATCGACCTCAAATCCATCACTTCCAGATGATTTGGTAGTGAACATCTTAGCCCGCGTCTCGAGATCGTATCACCCAAATCTCTCCTTAGTCTCCAAAAGCTTCCGATCGATCCTTGCTTCACCGGAGCTATACCAAACCCGAACCCTCTTAGGCAAAACCGAGACTTTTCTCTATGTGTGCTTACGCTTCCCTAATGAAGCTAACCCTCGCTGGTTCACTCTTTACCGGAAACCTAATCAAACCCTAACTAAGAAGAAGAAGAAGAAGAAGAAAGAGGATTCAATTGGCAATCTTTTGGCTCCAATTTCAATTCTCAACCCTCCTCCTTTGGAATGGTCAAGTCTCATCGCTGTTGGTTCTTATCTTTACGCCATTACCGCAGCCATGGACGATTCTCCATGCTCTAACGTTTGGTACCTTGACTGTCGAACTCACACTTGGCTTGATTCTCCAAGAATGCGAATTGCTCACACTGATACTCCATATGATGGGAATGTGTATTTAGCAGAAAGCTCTGAAAGTCCAGATTCTTTGAACTGTGTTGAAGTGTACAACACAGAGACTCAAGCTTGGAATCCTGTGCCGCCCAAAAGACCGATATTCGAATTAGAAAATTTGGAAGGAACGATTTACATGAACCTTGAAGGAATGTCTCCTTGGCAGGCTACGGCTTTTAAGCCAAAGGTTTCGACAAGTGAATTGGTAGGATTGCATATGATTTTGGGTCGGGTTTCTTATTGTACGATAGATAAAGTAGACTATCATTATGCCCCTCATTATCCCCCTGGTGTAAATCTTACATGGAGAACAAATAACACTTCCGGAATTTTAGAAGGTTTAGAAGGGTTACCTCAGTTTGCTAATTCTTGTACTGTTATATTAGCAGATTATGGTGGTAAGCTGGTAGTTTTGTGGGATAAGTATGAGCAGGGATTTGGATATAAGAAGAAGATGATTTGGTGTGCAGAGATTTCACTTGAAAAACGCAACACTGAAGAGATTTGGGGGAAAGTCGAGTGGTTCGATGCGGTTCTTACAGTCCCTAAGTCTTATAAGTTTGTGTGTGCTAAATCTGTTACTGTTTGACAGGTTTGTACGTAATGAATCTGGTTATATCACTTTCTTTCTTTCTATAGTATGTCACTTATGAAGGAATGTTTTGTGTTTTTAGCGTAATGCTGCTACTGACATGGTTTGGCTTCTTATATATATATATATATATATATATATCAGCTGCACTCACTTGCTTTGTAGGATGATTTAAGCTTATTTAGTGAGTTCTTTTAATGCCTCGATCTAGGAAGAAAACAGTGTTGAAATTAGCAGCAAGAATACACAAAGACCAAAACGGAAAAGCCGAAGAAATTGACATTGTTTTTAAGCGGACATTGTTTTCACTCCTAAAACGTATGTACTCACTTGTAGACTGATTAAGCTTACTTTTTTCTATGAAAACACTTTTGCTTGTGTTGCATAGAAGAGTACAGTTCTCTTTACATTCACGAGAAGAGCTAAAACAAGATACAGTTCTCTATTGTCTATTGTTCAGTCCATTGAGCTTCTGTTTTAGCTACTTCTTAACAATTTGAGGATCCTCTGTTTTAGCTACCTTTTCTTTTTTTTTGACTTTTCAGTCGAAGAAGAGTAATCTTATTCAATTAACTCTAAGATTTTGTTTAAGAATTATTAACTACTAAAACTATGGTTTTCGACTCGATTAAAGCGTTGAATCCAATTGTATTTATCACCAACACAAAAAACGGTCGACTCCAATTATACATTTTAGAAGCTCCTCCTGTAAGACCCTCTTATTGTAACAGAGAGTCACCGACTTGAATAACCTATTGCAACATACTCGTGGGCTTTACTTTTTCTTGGCTCGAGAGCCCTAATAACACACGCACATGATACATACAAAAGAAAAACCCTAATCCAATTGAAACAGAGGAAACTCGAGAAACAAAAGGACCGAGGAGAACGCAAACCCTATAAAAAACTCGAGAAGTAGAGAGATGAATTCTTTCACAGAGGATCTATGGTCAATCATACTAGCGCGATTACCACTAAAGAGCATCACAACTTCCAAACTGGTTTGCAAGCAGTGGAAATCGATCGTCGAGTCTCCATACTTCCGTAAGTCTCTGTACCAAAACTTGCATTCTTCTTCATGGTCGCTCCTTGTTTGGGATGATAAGAAAGACCTCGGTACAACTCTTTACGGATGCGAACCATCTATGGGCTCTTATATCTCGTCTTTCCTAAATAACAAGTTTGAGATTCAGAGACACAAATACGTGTATCTAATACGGGATTACACAGACGTTGGGTTGATTTTGATCAGTGAAGTGTCTAAGAAGCCATCTTTCCGTAACAGTACAGTGTATGTCGCTAATCCAGTTTCACAGGATTGTGTAAAACTCCCTTCTCATCTCATAGAAAATGTTTATCCTTTGGGAATTGTCACACGAACGGAGAACGGCGTCGTTTTGGATTACAAAGTTGTTTTGCTTGCCTTTGGTGATGTGAAGGAAAAAATGGAAATAAGCTTGTTGATATATTCATCTGAGACAGGCTTGTGGAGTCTCAGCATTGTCCATTTGCCTTCATCTTTGTACTATGGATATTTTTCCCGTTCAATTAGCTTGAATGGAAATCTTTACTGGCTCAACCGCAATAGTGACAATGAAGATGTTATCGTATCCCATGATTTCTATGCAACTGGCACGGATTCTGATCGATTTCGTGTTACACGTTTCCCTGATTCAGGAAAACATCCCAAATTCAAAAGAGCATGCACTATTTTTCAAGGATTTCTCATGTATATGAATGTAGTGTCTATAACCAAAGATGATGGAAGTCTAGAGGATAAGTTAATTATATGGAAGCTAAAGAGCGGGGAATGGCAGCTAGTATCTGAAATCTCTGCGGATTTTGTTAATCCCGGTTTCGATCATATTCCAGTGACAATAAACTCTGTTGATGCAAAAACAGTCTATTTCTGGAACAGGAAGCATCAAAGTTTGGTATCTGCTAACTTATGCAATGGGAAGTTTGTGCTCCATAGTGAATTGGAACATAGCGGTCGCAGTCCGAATTCCGTTGAATGCATTATAAGATCAGACTGTCCCTCGTTTGTTCTCCCACGATGGTTATATCCCTAGTTATATCTCATCCCGGTGAGAAGTGTTTAGACATAATATATGCAAGACTTCACTTTGTTTCTTTCTTTTTTGGTTTATAATATATGCAAGACTTCACTTTGTTACCGGCTGTTAAGTCACGAGTTTGAATCTACCAATAATTCAAAGATAAAGGTATTGTTTGACCAACTAAAATTATATGAGAAATTTTTATTCAAAAAAAAAAAGACCTTACATATTAAACGGCCAAATATAAAATTGATGAGAGTTTTTTGGATTTTTTTCTTATAATTAAATATGGACCATTATATATTTTTATATTATAATTAATGTTAAAATCTTTTAATTGTGTTTGGTTATATAGATAATAGAGAATTAATGATAAAAAGTTGTTTGAATACATGATATATCCAACGACATTCCTTGTAAATAGTCTAGAAACCAAAGGGTTTTATCTAAAATGTACTTCAAAAATATATATAGACATATATATAGACTAGTATTAAGGCCCATGCCATGCATGGGCTAAAATTTTGATTAAAATTTTATTCTTAACAATTAATATATATATATATGATGAATAAATTAAATATATAAATGTTGTGTAAATTAAACAAAAAAAAACTAATTATAACAATGGGTAATATCTATTGGCAAAAAGATTAACGAAAATAGAATTAGATTAAACAAAAATGAAATTAACAATTTCATGTAGTAACAAAATTTTCATTGTTTGATTCATAGATTAAACAAAAATTTCATTGTTTGATTAAAATCACAATCATTATTTAAGCGAAATCAGATTTATTAATTGTTATAAAAGAAAAATGAAACGTGGGAGGAAGAAATGAAAAGGTGTTTTTTTTTTTAATTACTTTTGATTTATAGTGAATTTAATTAGTTATGAGAAAAAAAAAAAGAAAATCGTGGAGGAAAAAGTGTTTTCTCAAATAAATTAGTAAATGGAACGTGGGATGAAGAAATGAATTTTTTTTTATATATTTTTGATTAGTTGAGTTTAATTAGGAAAGAAGATAAAAGGAGAAAATTGTGGGAAAAAATAAAAAAATGTTTATCAAATAAAAAGTAAATTGGCGTAGAAAAGTAAAAGAAGAGAATTTGAGACTTATGCCACATATCAAAAGGAGAATATTAAAGTTTCTGTTAAAGTGACTGTTGATTTAGTAGATATAGATATGGGTCATCCATATATAAATTAAATTAAATAAAAAATCTAAAACACACCATATAATTATAAAACCAACAAAAAAAAATCCTAAAATCCTAAAACCATAAACTCAAAATACCATAAAACAAAATAAAACCACTTTTAGTTTATAGAGCAATTAAATCTTATTTAGATGCATCTGATTCTTAAATTTTAACCCAAATCCAGTAAAACATTGGACAGATTTGTTACCCATGGATTTTTACCCGTTTTGAATCCCCTATGATACATATTAATTATAAAAAAAAATCTAATCCCATTGAAACAGAGGAATAGGAAGATGAATTCTCTCACAGAGGATCTATGGTCAATCATACTAGCAAGATTACCACTAAAGAGCATCATAACTTCAAAACTTGTGTGCAAGCAGTGGAAATCGATTGTCGAGTCTCCATACTTTCGTAAGTCTCTGTACCAAAACTTGCATTCTTCTTCATGGTCGCTCCTTGTTTGGGATGATAAGAAAGACGTCGGTACAACTCTTTACGGATGCGAACCATCTATAGGCTCTTACATCTTATCCTTCCTAACTAACAAGTTTGAGATTCAGAGAGACAAATACGAGTATTCGGTCTGGGACTACACGGACGTTGGGTTGATTTTGGTCAGTGAAGTGTCTAAGAAGCCATCTATCCTTATCAATGCAGTGTATGTGGCTAATCCAGTTTCACAGGATTGCATAGAACTCCCTTCTCATCTCAAAGAATATGTTTTTCCTTTGGGAATTGTCACACGAACGGAGAACGGCGTTGTTTTAGATTACAAAGTTGTTTTGCTTGACTTTGGTAATGTGAACGAAAACATGGAAATAAGTTTGTTGATATATTCATCTGAGACAGGCTTGTGGAGTCTCAGCATTGTCCATTTGCCTTCATCTTTGTACTATCAATATTTTTATCGTTCAATTAGCTTGAATGGAAATCTTTACTGGCTCAACCGCAATAGTGACAATGAAGATGTTATCGTATCCCATGATTTCTATGCAACTGGCACGGATTCGGATCGATGTCGAGTTACACTTTATCCTGATTCAGGAAAACATCCCAAATTCAGAAGAGGATGCACTATATCTCAAGGATTTCTCATGTATATGAATGTAGTGTCTATAACCAAAGATGATGGAAGTCTAGAGGATAAGCTAAGTATATGGAAGCTTAAGAGCGGGGAATGGCAGCTAGTATCTGAAATCTCTGTGGATTGTGTTAATCCCAGTTTTGATCATATTCCAGTGACAATAAACTCTGTTGATGCTAAAACAGTCTATTTCTGGAACAGGAAGCATCAAAGTTTGGTAGCTGCTAACATATGCAATGGGAAGTTTGTGCTCCATAGTGAATTGGAACATAGCGGTCGCAGTCCGAATTCCTTTGAATGCTTTAAAAGATCAGACTGTCCCTCGTTTGTTCTTCCACAATGGTTGCATCTCACGCCGGTGAGAGGTGTTTAGACATAATATATGCAAGACTTCACTTTGTTTCTTTCTTTTTTGGTTAGTTTCTTATGCAAGAAGAAGAAGATTGTGCTTGGATTATTTTCTTTAAGTGTTCTGGTTGGTCTAAGGAATAAAATGGTTAGGGCATTTTGTAGGTTTGAATGATCCTAGAATATATATACAAAACACTTTGAATTGTGTTACGGTTAACTTATTTAGTGCCAATGACCGCTAAAATGCTTTTGAAACGCCGTTTTGGTTGAATGTTTTGTTATTTTAAAAGAAAAAAAATTGCGTAGAAGCTGAGAATGGAAAAATACATGGTGAAAAAATGCGGCAACCCAAAAAAAAAGCGGAATCAGCAAGAACTACTCAAGATTGTTCTTATCTGTCAATTTTTTTTTTTTTCTTGCAAAAACTAAGAAAGAACAACAACAACGAAGACCACTTTTTTTTTTGAACAACTGCCTCTTCTCTCTGAAAAAGACGATCACTTAGGCGACTCTTTACAACTTCTCCGTTACACCATTGTTTCCGGCCGGCGTTGGCTTCTCCAGCGTCGGTCGGCTTTTCCCTTATGTTTAGATTTCTTTTTTTCTTCTCTTTGCATAGATCTAGATGAATAAATTGGAAATTTGCAAATTCCAAATCCATGCCGATTGGGATGCAATGATGTCTCTCCCTCCGATCTTGTCACCAATTCAATCGCAAGGTTGGGTGGTGTTTCACAATACCCAGACCTTGTCGCTACACGTGGGAAGGGTGGATCCGAGAGCGGTTAGTTTTGTTTCGTTTCACAACACATCAACGGGGTTGAAGTTTTCTATTCAATATTGCTTTATTTTTCTCTTCTTTCGGAAGAAGTTTGTTTCCGGTGATCCTTATCACCGTCGTCATCTCCGGTTGTCAACCGATGAAGTTTCTCCTAATCTATGGTTTGGAGAAGTCATTTGGGTATTTGATCCGGGAATTAACAGACAAATCCTCCTGATTGAAGGAAGTGGCATTCACGATAACATCCTCTGGTCATGGATACTGTCCGATGATGGTGATGTCCATATTATCCCTCAATTGGATTACTCAGGTTTTATGGAAGAGCAAATCATGGTCACTAACCGACAACGATGGATAAGGCGTTATAAAAGACATGATTCAGAACCATTTCAAGCAATATATCAGTGTGTTCGTTTATTCAAAGTGATGCGGAAAGCATTTGGGAATTTCATCTACAAGATGTTAGCCTTTTACGAGTATATGAAGAGGGGACTTAACAAATGTCATCTGTTGCCTATAAGGCTTTCGTTTGGAAAGCAGGGTTACTTCCACTTCTTCATCGAAATTGTGTTCAATTTCCTTTATTTTATTCAATGGTTGTATTTTAATGGTTCATGTATTGACGTAACACTTTTATGATATAATATAATTGATTTGCCGTAAAAAAAAAAAAAACAACAACAACAACAAAAGATCCAAAATCGTTATCTTCAGGCCCATTACGATCTGATCACCATCTCTATTATATACCCAGCCCACTATTAAAATAGCCTTCACGTTCTGTTAACCACGCGCAATCCGAGAAAGTAGGCTCACGCGCTCATGAACTCATTAAGAAAAATCGAGTCGAATCCCTAAATCCCCTCCTGAGTCGGAGAAGAAGTAGAAGAAATCGATTTCGTTTCGATGTCGTCCCTAAAGAAGAAGACGAAGAAACGGTCGCCGGAATCGACCCCAATTTCATCACTTCCCGATGATTTGGTATTGAGTTGCTTCGCACGCGTCTCTAGATTGTACTACCCGATTCTCTCCTTAGTCTCCAAGAGCTGTCGAACCCTCGTTGCTTCACCGGAGCTTTACAAGACTCGATCTTTCTTCAACCGCACGGAGAGTTGTCTCTATGTGTGCTTAGAATTCCCTCCTGACCCTAACCCACGTTGGTTTACACTCTACCGAAAACCTAATCAAACCCTAACCAACATCACCGAGAAGACAAAGAACTCAAGTGGGTACGTTTTGGCCCCAATCCCAAATCACCATTCCCCTAGTGCGAGTCTCGTTGCGGTTGGGTCTAATATCTATGCCATTGGTGGATCCATTGAGAATGCACCGTCTTCTAGGGTCTCAATTTTAGACTGCAGGTCTCATACGTGGCACGAGGCGCCAAGCATGCGGATGAAGCGGAATTACCCAGCTGCTAATGTTGTTGATGGGAAGATTTATGTAGCAGGAGGCTTGGAAGACTTTGATTCCTCTAAATGGATGGAGGTTTTCGATACGAAGACTCAAACTTGGGAGTTTGTGTTGTGCCCTTTAGCGGAGAGATTCGTATACAGGAGCTTAGTGATTGATGGAGAAATCTACATTTTTGGGGATAAGGTTGTGACCTACAAGCCAAAAGAAGATAGATGGGGAGATGAAGGAGAGCATCAGAGTATGGATTTAGGTTTGTATTTTCATTCGTATTGCGTTATAGATAACGTTCTCTATTGTTATCGACCTGGTGGAATCAAATGGTATGAATCAGAGAAAAGATCGTGGAGGAAGTTGAGGGGTTTGAAAGGATTGTCTAAGCTTGCTAGTAGTTGTGTTAGGTTGGCGGATTATGGTGGAAAGATTGCGATTTTTTGGGACAAGTATTCCCCTTCTAGTGGTTATAAGAGTCATATGATTTCGTGTGCGGTGATTTCCCTTGGAAGTTGCAAAAATCAGGGTATTCGAGGAAAGGTTGAATGGTTTGATGATATGCTTACAGTCCCTAGCTCTTATAACTTTGTGGGTGCTCTTGCTGCTACTCTTTGATGATTGCCATGCGAGACAGATTTAAATGTGGTGAATCTTTAGTGATTTGTGGGAAGTATATCATTTTGTTGGATGATTGTGTCTTGCGTTTCTTTAGCTGAATGCTATCGACATCATTTCTTTCGTAAACCTTTGATGGTTCGTTTATTTTGTTCTGCTTTAAGGCCTATGAAATGTTGTTTTGGTTGAATAGAAATTGTTCACTACTTTCATGGGAAAAAGAAGTAAAGCAAGATACACATTTGATTGTCTAGCTTACAAATAAATGGGTTTCTATGTTGTAACGACTCAATGATGCAACTGGCTTTATAACTGCACCCTCACCGGTTGAAACAACAGCTTGGTGGGACAGCGAAGTGAGAATGTATGTACTATGTATGCGATGAGAGTAAGAGCCAAGAATACACAAAGAACAAAGAGGTAAAAAGCCGGAAAAGTTTACTTTGTTTTTTGCTTATAAACATCTGCAGTCACTTGCTTGTAGCTAGATAATTAAGCTCATTTTGTGACTTGTCTCTTTGATAAACTCTTTGTTCCTAAACTCTTTCTGCTATTGTCTAATATATGCCTCTTGAGACTAGCCGGTAATGTTGTTTTTGTTCTCAAGATATTGTTTTCTTTCCCCCCAAATTATACTGAGTTTAAGACTAGCTGTATGAGTTTATCAACGTTTAATCTAAGCTGGCAATCGAATCTGGCCAACACTCACATCTCTATTCATATCTTTTTTGAAAAATACCATATTTATGTTGGGAGATTTTTATAAATATAGTAAATATAATAAGAAATTTGAAAATTACACCCACGTTTAGAGTAATTTGAAAACTACTATTTTCTTGTTAAAAATTGACCATAATACCCTTTATAATAATTTAAGTAATATTTAAATATTAATTTTAAATTCTAAAAATTAAATCTAAAACTATTGTTTTAATGATTATATTTCAAAAACTTAACTAAAAAACGTTATTTATTTTTTTAATATGAAAACAATATTTAAAAAAGTATTTACAATGGTTACTTTAATCTTAAGGGAAATTGTTAAAAATACCTCTTTTGGTGTGCCCATTTTCAAAAATGTCCCTTTTAGATGTCCATTTTCAAAAATGCCCCTTTTCAAATCTGAAATTTTTATAAAGTTTTATTAGGTTTATAAGGTCAAGTGGGTATGTTTTGGTTCCAGTCCCAGTTCACCATTATTCACCTATTGCGTGTCTCGTGGTGGTTGGTTCTACTATCTATAACATTGGTGGATCCATTGAGCATGCACCTTCGTCTAGGGTCTCAATTTTGGACTGCAGGTCTCATACGTGGCACGAGGCTCCAAGCATGCTGATGGAGCGGAGATACCCAGTTGCTAGTGTTGTTGATGGAAAGATATATGTAGTAGGAGGCTTGAAAGACTTTGATTCCTCTAAATGGATGGAGGTTTTCGATTCAAAAACTCAAACTTGGGAGTTTGTGTTGAGCCCTCCTACTCTCGTGAAGAGATTTATATTCTGGACCGCAGTGATTGAAGAAGAAATCTACATGTTTGGGGAGAATGGTATGGCTTACAAGCCTGAAGAAGATACATGGAAATCTGAAGTGATGTCAGTAGGGGTAGTTTGTCATTGCGTGGTAGATAACGTACTCTATTATTATTATTATTTTGACGGGATCAATTGGTACGACTCAGAGATAGGACACTGGAGAGAATTGAAGGGTTTGGAAGGATTGCCTGAGTTTGCTAGATATAGTAATGTTTATTTGGTGGATTATGGTGGAAAGATAGCGGTTTTTTGGGACAAGGATTTGCCTTCTAGTGGTTGTAAGAGCAGGGCGATTTGGTGTGCTGTGATTTCCCTAGAAAGATGCAATAATAGTCGGGAGATTCAGGGAAACATTGAGTGGCTTGATGTTGTGCTTACAGTTCCTTACTGTTATAGTTTTGTGAATGTTCTTGCTGCTACTGTTTGATGAACGCCAGACGAGACAGACTTGCACTTGCATGTGGCGTCTCTTTAGTGATTTGTTGGTATCAAATCTTTTTGTTGGATTATAGTGTCTTGTGTTTTTTTAGCTGAATGCTATAGACATCGTTTGGGTTGTAAAAGGTTCACTACTTTCTTTGTCAAGATTAAAAGAAGACGAAGTGATAGTCTTTCTACTGTTTTCAGTTATACAGCGTCTTTTGTTGTCTAGAAAGCTCTGAACTTGTTGAAAGGCCTGATGATGAATGATTTTGCACTTAGAGCTTATCAAAACTTCCAATCCACACACGTGTATAGGAAACAGAGGTTCTGAGTCTTACCTCAATGGTGATATCAGTTGGTGTAAGATCTGAGACACTTCTATACTCGAGCTTCGCTGTACTAAACTTCACAATTGGCCGAGATTGTAGAAAGCTATAGAACATGGAAGGTCCAAAGAAACTCCTGCGTTTTTGTTTGTGTATATGCTTTCACAAATAGTTTAAAGATGATTTGAAAGCCTATGTGAAGTCGAAAATTATCAAAACCACAGGGAAAGAGTTTTTGTTTTTAGTAACAATGGTAGCATTACTACTGTGAATGTGTCTCCTGACTCATAATCATGTAACACTGGTCTTGAATCAGTTTCTAGCTACATCAGCGATATATGCGCTATTAAGCTATGGCTTTTAGACTCTTATCATTATGTAGGAACATCAAGCCAAGTGCCAATACTTTATGCAGATACTTCCTGAATACAAATATTACACAATGATCTGAGTTTCGTAGAATATATCAATGAAGAGAAGAAAACGCACCAATCGATGGACCGGACCGATATCTATAACCAAACCAAAATTTATTTTATTTCAATTTCTCTACGGTTTACATAATAACTAAACCGATTTATTATCACTAAGTCTCAAAATAAACCCTAAATCAGTCTTCTTCGACCTTTAATTTGGCGCCAAATCCGCAGTCACATATTTCTATTTCCCGCTCGAGCAATCTGATCTGATCGGAATCTTTGAAGCAGAGATAGAGAGAGATTCTTTAGTACATTGATCTAATGGCGTCGAATTCGGAAGCGGGAGGATCGGCGGATTACGAAACATTGATGTCAACATCGGACGTTGAGCTCTTGAAGAGGGCGTGGCGTAACGAGAAGGCGGCGCCGGAGATTCTTCAGTACGAAGGAGCTCTTGTCGATAGAGCCAAAGAACAGATCGAATTGGTGGTAAAATTTCCTAGCTTGTTTATTTTCTTGTCAAACCCTAATTTTGTGTTCAGTGTTAGTGATTGTTTATGGTAGAGTTATTGTCTTGTCGCTTCCATTTTCAGTAATTGAAATGTTTGTAATAAAACAGGAAGAAACAATTGAAGATTATGTGGAAAATGGCATAGACCCTCTCGTGGTGTCACTTTATCAGATGGATTTGGACAGAACCCAGTTTCTACTCAGATCTTATCTCAGGGTTAGGCTTCTCAAGGTCTGTTGTTTTTCTACCCAATCTCTATTTCATGTTTTAGATTAGCTGTGTGAGTTTATCAACGTTGATTTTAAGTGTCAAATGTAGTACAAATGTGTTTGTTGTAAAGAGATTTGTGAGATCTGAACGGAATGTTGATTAATAGACTTTGCCTTCAATGGTGTTCTTTTGATTGTTGCAGATAGAGAAGTTTATGTTTCACAACCTTAAGTCAGAAGAAGCTGAAAGGCGGCTTTCTGAGCAAGAGAAAGTGTTTGCTACCAGGTTTGTTTTTTACTTGTCTGATTTTATGTTAATTGGCTGTCTTCTTCAGTTCTTCCTTGTAAGCTTTTTGCCTTTTTATGTGTGGTTCTAAATGTTATAGGTTTGGTGTAGAATCTGTGTGGAATATAGATAGTGTTAAGAGATATGTCGGGTACTCTCTACATGTTAAGAGTTGTGCCCAATGGGATAGAATGAACCCACATATGAATACAATTATTGTTCATGGAGGATTTGAACTCTCCCGGAAATTAAAAACCTCAGGTAGCCTAGGCACTTTTTTCATGAGTATCTGTTTGAGTGTTTTTTTTTTCAGACTTTAAACTTGATTTTTACAGTTTACGTTAATGGCTGTTGTTGTGAAACATATACTGGAATGATCACATTCACAGGTGTGCTGATGATTTGGCAAAGCATTTCGAAGAGACTGTACTGCTTAAGTTACCCGAGAATTATCAGTCGGTTCTCAAGCAATCTCTCATAAGTGAAGTGGATGATACGGGTACCTCCCTAAACCTAATCACTTTGAACCATAATCTCAGTTGGTTAAGATTGTCACTATAGTTGAACACTCCCTTCACAGTAGCTAGAGTTGTGTGTGTGTTAGTGATGACTATTATTGTGAATTTACAGTGCCGCAGCCGCATTTGGATACCTTTGTTGTTTGTAGAAGCAAGAACTTTGTCTCCCTCAGTCTATATGAAGAGTGAGAGAATTCTCTTCACACCTTAACCTTACTTCCTCCATACACATACACAACCATTATTTAAGCTAAGTGTGGTTTGCATTTTGGCAGAGGAGAGAGCCCCGAAACCGTGGAAATGGAGCGCGGTGATCTCTACTTCATACGTTACAAGATTGTAAAAAGGGCAATCGAATCTGGGCAAATTGACTTGATCTGAGCTCAATAATGGATATTTCACTCAAATCTCTTCTCATAGCATAAGTTTCGGATGGTCTTGTGTTGCTTGAGTTTGTATAGTGAGTGTCCTAGTGCTCTTGATAAAAACTTAGTTTTTTTTTTGCTTTTTAAATGGGTCTGTTTGTTTATTTTTATTTTCTTAGATCTTTTTGTAATTGGTCCATGAAAAATGAGTAAACTCCAAAAGCCGTAAAAACTAAAATGATGGAATCTTTTTAGTTTAAAACAAAAGGCTTCTAAAATATCTAGTTACGGTTACGTGTACTGCCATAGAAAAACAAATCTTCTGCTTAGTCTCGGATAGAGAGGTAAGAGATCCCCAAAACTTGGCCTTTCAATCTCTTAAGCTGCTTTTGAATTCTCATGTTGATTTCCTTGATTTTGCATCTATCAAGTTTGGGATTTTAGGATTGGGGTTTCTCATAATATCTTCTTTGACCAGTGTGTGTGGTTTGGATTATCCTTCTGGATCTTTGTTTCTCCAGATAAAAAAGTACAGGAATTGAAATCTTTGTCAAATTTGGTTTATTTTCAGTTTCAATCATCATTTCTTAGTGAATTCTGTTGGATAACAGTGACACATATGAGATTTGAGAATTGCAAGTTATTGTCCTTTGAGTTTGGTGTTAAAGTTAGCAAAATTGGTAACTATCTCTATTTAGTTTACATGTTTTCTTGCTTTTTATTGTGAGGATTTAAGATTTGCTTGGTTTCTTTGTTTCATCTGTTGAAGTTGATTTCTTTGTCAATCTTTAACCAGAGATCGAGGTGTATTTGACGCGATAGAAGATTGTTCTGCGTGTTATTACCCAAGAACTGCTTAGTGTTATCAACTTTCAGAAGAGATGCATTTGTGGCCGTCATTGAAACTTCGAAACTCCTTCAAGAGCACTAGCCAGAAGAGATTTCAAAGGATGAACAGTGGGAAACAAAATCAAAGCAACCAGCAAAAACTCCTCAACGGCGACAAAGAATCTGGCAGCCCCGAGATTTCATCTGGTGGTGGTTTTGCTGTTGTTTGCAGAGATGCTGCCATGGTTCTCTCTTGTTGCTACTGCTGTTTCTGCTGTGGAGGTAATAAACCGTCTCGATACTTTTCCCTTTAACTAGTATTTGTGTGATCTCTGGATGAAACTAGTTTGTGAAACCTGATCAGCTCTCATATTAACTTAGTAAAATGGATTTCTGCTAGAAGATAAAGAAAGTCATGGTTGAATTTGGATTATTGATTCTTCTTCAATTTCTCTGATTTTTTTCAGCTTGCATTGATGACGAAGAGATTTGATACAAGCTCCTGGTGGAGGAGTGAGTGAAAGATATTAGCCTTAGAAATATAGTTTGTATTAACTTTCTGAATTCTATTTCTACCTTCCCTCAATCACATACTATTGTTTGTTTTGTAACACAATCAATCTTTTTTTTTGGTGAATTGTTAAAATTATTTTTCAAACCAAAAGGAGTGTTATTTACAAACTAGTATCTATGGATTAAAATGTTTTTTTTTTTTTTTCACTGAAAGATCTTTTATTATATAACACAAGAGTGAAATACAAGGGAGGAATACGTTTTTGGAATGCAGTTTTGAAATACAAAAGCCGGCGGAAAACAAAGAAATCCCCGGAAGCTAAAGCCCGATACACGGGAAACACAAGATAGAATACAATAGTCAAAAAGTAAAGCTCTCGAAATCACCGGGAAAGTCGGAGGAGAACACTAGTCGCGGAACTAAGAGCTCAAAAGTCGCATACTAGAAGACCTACAACCGGAAACGGAGTAGAACTAAGGATAGAGGAAACCGCAAAAAAATAACCCAACTAAAAACGAATATCCCGAACATAATAAGGCAACGATCGTGAATCTACAACCTAACCACCTAGTCTTCTACCGAACAAGTCTAAATCTAGAACTTTGCATCCCCACGAAAGGTTAGCCTTACAAGAACAGACAACGAACAGACCACGAGAGAAAACCTATTTATTAGTCTAATCTAGAGGCGGTGGAAAGAGACAAACGTAAAAGATTCAACGAACAAAGATGGGATAAAACGAAAGCTATCCAAAACCTAGCCAACACGACCAATCCCCGGAGCTTTCATGAGATAACAGAGAGCAAAACCATGACCCAAACTATTCCATAGGCAACACCAACAAAGCCTACCAACAACAGCTAGCAAAAGCCAAACACAAACACAAATCTACAACTAATAACATCCGAAAAGAGGAGCGATAATGCCATAAACCCGACAAGGAACAAAAACGAAATGTCTCTGTCCCTCGCAACCACCGGCAGCCAAAACCCGACAGAGCCACAACCTATCATCCGCTGCAGAAGAACCACAACCCAAAGATACCACCACCGGCAAATCCTGAAGCGGAGATCTTTCGCCACCATTACCAAAATCGAGAACCAAGCCTCTCCTAAATCACCACCTTGATAATCACTATCTCCTCCACAAAACCAATTCGTTCACGAGAAAACCAGAAATGAGAAGAGACAGAATCAAAGCCTATGCCGCGACGAGGAGAGGAAACGCCAAACTAAAGCACCACACAAACCAACCTCAACCAAAAGCTCCATCGCAATTGAACCACCGCAACCTAGAACCCCATCACACCTTCTCTAATCTTCAATTAGAGCCGCAAACAAGAGCCCCCCATGTCGCCTAGTCTCAGCAAAGCCAACCACCGGAAAGAACAGAGCCTTACCGAGGCATCACTCCATGACCCGCGAACAAAGACGCCTCCATCGCCAAAACCAACAGATCTAAAAACAAGACTAAGAAGCAAGACAAAAACAAAAGACCCTCCCACAGCTCTGACGAGAAGTCCAGCCGCCGGAGAGGGAAAATCGAAAATCGCCAAAGTTTTTTTAACATTAAATTAAAAAAATGGAACTGAATAACAGAAATAGCCAAAATTATCAAAAGCGCAAAAGTCAAACTAAGCAGCCCAGTCAACCAATGTACATCTGCCACGTAATATCAAAAAATCCAAAAGGAAAAAGAGAACGAACAAACTCCACTATCCCAACTAAATTACAGAAATACCACTCAGTTTCTTTCCCTTGAGCTTTTTCTCTTTCTCTCATCAGAAATCTAAAACCCTAAAAAATTCCTTTTTGATACATACTGTATCTATACATTCACCGTACCTCAAAAACAATGGAGATTCCATCTCTGAATAAGCAGCAAGAGTTCACTCTCGCCTCCGTCACTGATCTCACTTCTTCTTCCTCATCTCCTTCGTCATCTCCTGTTGTAGCCACGTTTTCATGCGTTAATGAAGTCAAGGAACTCCGATTTCAGGAATCTGAATCGTCTGATGGTTTCAGTTTTGATCTTAGTTCAACTCAGGTGGCTCCCGATTCAATCTATACATACACATACTGTATCTATACCTACTTAAGTGCCCTGAAACAATCTTTGTTTAGTTAGGATTATCGCATTACTCGTGTGCTCAGTTTCTGATCAAATGTACTGATTTGTTTTGTATTTTTGTTGCTCAGTTGTTCAAGTTGGGGCCGCTTCTGTTCATTTGTGTATCTGATCTTTCAGGTTCTGCAAAGGAGGTATGTGAAAGTGAAACGTCACTTTTTTTCTGAGTGTTTATGAGATTGGTTTCAGGAGATGATATTTCTGAGTGTGTCTAATTGATTATATTTGTTACTTGGTAATCTAATATGGTTTTGTTGATTTGTTACCAGAAATCGTCATTTTCTCGAGGAGTTGTAATAAAATTTAAAGACGACAAGGATAGCAAGGAATTTTCTGATTCATTTGAGGAATGTAAAAAGGATTCTGTTAAACAAGGTAAGGAATGTTATTACGTTTTCTTGTTGGTTTTTAGATGCACTTGACCTTATGTAAGTATGTTAAACAAGGTGATGTGTTTGCTCATTTTCTTGATGAGTTTACTTAAGAAAGGTTTATTTTGCATAGATGTTTTTTGGTTTGGTTGCTCTTATCTTTCATAGAGAATCAAATTTCGCTTTTTGAAACTAAGGTACAAGTTGAGACCAAGTTTTATCTTGATTTCAATAAAAACCTAAACCTCCTTTTTTCGCAACACTCCTTAAAAGAAGTTTTCGTAAGTGGAATGAAGATAGCGAATCAATGTGCTAGTTCCCCATCCTAGTTGTATCGTTCATCATAATCCCTTTTCATTAATCATAACATATACTCATGACTCTTGTTCGTACTCATTCTTTGATGGCTTCCTCGTTCTTTTGTTTCTAGGATCATCCTTTTTGAACGGAACTGTTGTTTCAGCTAATAAAAGCAAGTTCGATGATAAGATAGAGGCTGCTTCAGCCAAAATGTATTTCCATTATTATGGACAACTTCTACATCAGCAAAATATGCTACAAGATTATGTGCGGACAGGTAAGATCTCTGGCCTTTGTGTCTTTGTTACCTCAGAGGGATATCTTTTGTTTTCTTCGAACTGCAATTTGACCCAAGATTGCTCCTTTTTCTCATATTACTGTCTTCAGGTACATATCATGCTGCAGTCATGGAGAACCGCTCAGACTTTTCTGGCCGTGTTGTTGTCGATGTGGGCGCTGGAAGTGGAATTTTGTCATTGTTTGCTGCACTGGTAAGCATAAATTTAAGAAAATTTGGGCCCAAATGTTTAAAACTACTCTACGTCTGCATTTTTCTTTTGTTTTTTTGATATACGTCCATTATTTTCTTCCTAATTTAGGCAGGTGCCAAGCATGTGTATGCTGTTGAAGCGTCAGAAATGGCTGAATATGCCCGTAAGCTGATTGCTGGGAACCCATTGCTTGCTGAACGGATCACAGTAAGACCTGTAGTCCAGTTTCGCTAGTACATGTTTCATATATATCCATTTTTCTGATGTTATTCACGTTGGCACAAGTATAGGTCATCAAGGGAAAAATTGAGGATATTGAGTTGCCTGAGAAGGCCGATGTTTTGATCTCTGAACCAATGGGTATGTGTTTCAGAGACGGATTCTTTTCATGTGCTCTTCATGAAATTCAGAATCTTTCAGAAGGCAAAGTTTGGTCTGTGAGAAAATAAATGGAGAAAATCATTACTGATTCAAAGTTTTAATGATTTGTTTGAAAGATTATCTCTTATACTTAATAAATTTGTGTCTGTAGGCACCCTATTGGTCAATGAGAGGATGTTGGAAACATATGTTATTGCTAGGGACCGTTTTCTCTCTCCAAACGGAAAAATGTTTCCGACAGTTGGAAGGTAAAGCTGATCTTCGATAATTTTACTTTTCTCTCTCATAAATGTCTCCTTTCTCATGTAACTTTGTCACTGTAGGATCCACATGGCACCTTTCGCCGATGAATTCTTATTTGTTGAAATGGCAAATAAGGTACATAATGCACATCTTATCAGGAAGATATGTCTGAGATTGCTTATAACATAAAGAAAATGGTTGAATTAAGTATGCGATGGTTAGGCTTCCAGTAATTTAGGCTTTCTACCTCTCTATGCAGGCTTTATTTTGGCAGCAACAGAACTATTATGGAGTTGATTTGACACCTCTATATGTATCAGCCCACCAGGGTTATTTTTCCCAGGTATATCCATTTACAAACCAGTGAATCACTGATTAATTTTTGCTTATCTCATCCTTTACAATTTGTCATATTCACTGATTTTGTAGCCCGTGGTTGATGCATTTGATCCAAGATTATTGGTGGCTCCCTCGATGTTTCATATGATAGATTTCACTAAAATGACGGTATAGCTATTTTCTACATGAGATTCAGTTCCACAGTGTTTCCTTAACATCGAGGACAGTTTTCTGTCATACGATTTCACATCTATGGAATCTCTATGTGCAGTCTTCCCTGTTTGGTGAATGACATGATCCAAACTCATTTTAGCTGTCGATTCATTTTCACAGGAAGAACAATTTTATGAGATCGATATCCCGTTGAAGTTCACAGCGTCAGTGTGTACCAGGGTGCATGGACTTGCGTGCTGGTTCGACGTTCTTTTTGACGGGAGGTATCAAGCCATTACAATTTATATGTTTTCATCCTATACTTAAGATGAATATACGTTTTTTATCATCAAAGGTATACAATACAAACCTAATTTGTTATGTCTGTCCAACAGCACGGTACAAAGATGGTTCACGACTGCTCCTGGTGCACCAACGACCCATTGGTACCAAATAAGATGTGTTCTCTCGCAGCCTATTCATGTCATGGCAGGGCAAGAGATCACTGGTAGACTTCATTTGGTTGCCCACAGTGCTCAGAGTTATACTATAAATCTAACTCTCTCAGGTCAGTTACGCTTTCTGACATCTCTCCCTTTGAATCATATCATCTACTTTCGACTTTGTTTCTGATTGGCTCTTTAAACAGCTAAAATGTGGGGTCCCGGTGCCAATCAAGGTGGAATCCTCCAGACATCATCGTGCAAACTCGATCTAAAGGAACCCTATTATAGAATGTCTCAGCCACAAGTTTACCCTACACAAGAACCACCAGCTCAGTCGCAAGTAAGCGTTTGTTATTGTCTTGACTAAACAATTAAGATATGATCACTGTTGTGTTTAATCATTTGGCGTTGTATCATCCCTAGAAGTGTGATATACCATCATACATAACTATATCACCATTTTTGAAGCCATAAAACTCTCTTAAGTTTGCATCTATGCAAAGTATATCTCAGCATTATAACATGTGTGGGCATTCTCTTGGTGCAGGACATACATATACATAGCGATGACTTGGAAGAAGTAGAGTTACTACAACAAACCGCAAACGCTCAGCTCTAGAACTAGTAGAACTAGAACCGCTGCTTCTGTCCATGCCTTTGTACTTTGTGTTTGCTTTCTACGGTTTAGCTCCAACCCTTAATTTTCAGACATTAAATCTTGCGTATTAGTGTCTGGTTAAACTCTATTTAAACTATGTAGCCACGTGGTTTTTGATCCTCTACAAGCAAATGAATCACTCTATTTTGTGTGCTAAGCCAGGTTAATTGAACATATGTACTACTATGTTCTCTAGATCTAGTTTAGTAAAAAACGAGCAATATAAGCTCTCTTTTTTAATTTAAAGAAGGCTTATATTTCTTGTTTTTTTTCTATAAAAATGAGCAAATTTTTATAGAGTATCATATTTTACTTTTATATTGATAAAAAAGTACTATATTTTTACTTTAGAAAAAAAAAAGTAAGGTGGAATTTGCTACTTTTTTATTGAAATCTGTATTTTTTTTAAGACAATACAAAACAGAATAGATATAGTAGCGTGGGGGCGGATTTCTTACACTGCAAATTTTTAAAATTGAACCCTGAACGTTTCTGGTTTGATTTTTAAAAGCTCTTGGTGGAAGGGAACATATCAAAATTTAGGTTTATAGAGTTTACTGAAACAAAAATGAATCAGAGAATGTGAAAACTGTGCAATGGACAAAGGACTGTTACAGTATAGAGCGAGCAAATTTCAGGCTGAGCTGATCAAGGCTGCAACTGCTGGCTCAGGCGGATTAGCAACAATGACATTGAAGCAGCGTCCACAGAGAGTAGGATGGTTGGAAAATGACCCGACCTGGCCCGAGTAATTCCAGCACCTCTCACACTTGGACCCCTCAGCTCGTGACACACCAATCCACACTTTCTTATCTCCCTCTACATACTCTCCTGTGTGTTGCACACTGCTTACCATCTCCTTCTCCATTGAAGGCAATACTTCAACCTGTAATATGCATCCACATCAGTTTCATGGCTGTAGTCTCATAGAAATGTGCTCAATATGATCCAATCTCAACTTTAATCCAAAAATTGTGGATACTATCAAGGAGTTCAAGATGAACCACCATATTGGAATCTTTTGATCAATATGTGTATTCATTCATACCTATCTCTTAGGCATTTAGGGGGCTTTCGAGGATGTCTTCCAGAAATCTAATCCCTACATGTGTCTACTGCTATAAAAGTACTCTTCCTTTTACATCTAATTATCTAAACATTTAGCATTTCTATTAGGGTCCCAATACCATATCTAGGATAGGTAAAAACGGCCATATATATCAAAATCTGAGGAGAAAGAACCAGAGTGAATAAACCAAAATGTCAAAATTCCACTTTGTGCCCTATTTACACTAAACGTTGTACTTAGCTGTTCGCATAATGAATCTTATGGAGTGACTATAATGATCAATTGAGCCTACTTGTAGTTTGACCTGAACCTTACAAAGAAAAACCCAGGTATATTTTGATGGACATAATGGTTTTAATTTATCTTGATTTATAACCGAAATATGAATTTTGCACATAAGTAGATATAGTGCTTACTTGTGATGTTATGAATATGCGTTGCAGAGTGTCAGCCTCGTTCTTTGCTTCACTCATCTCTAGTAATTTTGTAGCCATTCCTGCATCTGCAGTGTACAGATACACCTTTGCTTCTAAACTGGAACCAATCATTTTATCATTACGTGCGAGCTCCAGCACTTTGTTCACCTCGGTCCTCAACTGTCACACAAACACCATAAGCATTTTTAAGATCCTCATTACATAATGCGCATCAAGTAAATGCTGTCCTGAAGAAGAATAAGGCCAGTAAATAAAGATTAAACTAAGAAGTTCTTCCTAAACACTTTCAATAATGCGATATCATAAGAACTGATTACATGATCATCTTGACATGACATCGAGTTGAATATTCTGATATTGTATAACATTTCATTGACTTCATCTCCACTAAATAGCAAAGGAGCTCTATTACTTTAACTATAAGCAGAATAGAGAGTATAAAGATGGGGAAAATTGCTGAGTTTATCCACTATGATTTTAGGAGAGTTTTAATACCCCGAGAAGCCTTTGCCAGAAGAGAACATCTTCAGCAGGAAATGAGAGCCATTGTTCGTTCACTGTAGGCCATTTAAGTTCGAAGACGAATTTTGCTGCAGAGCCATCTTCATTTCTGTACTCAAATGGAAGATTCTGCCAGACATCTTCTGCTAGGTGAGGTACTATCGGAGCAATCACTCTCAATATGGATAAAAGATGTGTTGAAAGAACTGTTTGACAGCTTCTTCGGGTAAAACTTGAAGTGCCCCTGAGAAAAAGATTTTTGGACCAGATTACGTTGAATAGCACATATGCATTAAGAAAATGTCTACATAGGTTGCAGCAAATATCAACCTAGAAGAAGTTGAGAATCTTACCCAGTATACAGTCTATCTTTAGCAATATCGAAGTAGAAATTTGACAGATCAACAATTGTGAATCGTTGTATGATCTGAAAAAAAGAAAGATAAGTTAGTAAGTTAGTAACACTGGTGATCTAGAACATGAAATTCAGCCTCCTGAGATTCAGCCGTCCATTGCAAATACATCAAGCTCACTCTCATCTTAATGGATAGTGATCCAATTGCTGAATTATAGTTTCTTAGATATATTCAAGCTTCTAATTGACAAACTAACTCTTGTAAGGGTAATCTATGTCTGTTTTCCCTGTTTTTAGTTAATGTGGCCTCTCTCCACTATCAAATTTAAGCAATTAATTAAATTGGCACAGTCAGAAAACGTGACACACGGAGAGGTTTGGTACCTGGAATATTTTAAAGAACTGGTAGTTCTCGTAACATTCGTGTATGTTCTTTACAACATTCTCAAGCTGAAAGAGAGCATGCTGATCAATGATAGGTAAATCCTCGTATGGAACATCATTATCAACCTACAAACCGCCACAACTTACAATATTATAAGATTGTCACCGACGCCAGTAAGCAAGACATCTTGACAAGTGGGGAAAGAGGAGAAAAACACTAGTCTATGTAAAGCTTAAGAGTTGGAAACCTACTCTCCAATCATGAAGATTGCCCAAGAGATATCTTAACGTTCCCCTCAACTTCCTATATATATCAGACATTTGCCGAAGAATCTGAGGACCTATCAGTACATCCCCTGTGTAATCTACACTAGAAACCCAAAGACGCATAACATCAGCTCCATAAGCAGGTGCGTCCTGGCATAAGAAGACAAACCCTTGTCAGGAAACAGATTGGATAGATAATGAAAATGTTTTCCTACAATGGGTTGTTATACCAGTGACAAACCTTTGAATTTTTCCCTCCTTCAATGACCAAACGTGGGTCCACTACATTACCTAGAGACTTGCTCATTTTCATACCCTTCTCATCCAATACAAATCCATGTGTTATAACAGCAGAATATGGAGCTTTTCCTATATCAATCATGCAAAATGTGAAGAAAAAAATAAAAGCCACTTTACACCAAGAAAGCTAAAATCTGTAGAATAATCTCAATTTAAAAGGCGATCATCATGGCGTGGACTTGTCACCTTGTGTTGCGATGCTTGTTAACAAAGAACTCTGGAACCATCCACGATGCTGATCTGTACCCTCTAGATACACGTCTGCAGGGAAACTAAGACCCTCACGTTTCCCCAATACACCAGCCCAAGAAGATCCTGGACATACAGATGAGAAAGAAAGTGAGTAAAATAGTTGTTGGGTGCTTGTG